TCTCACTTTCTGTCTCTCTGTCTTTCTGGTGAGTGCATGCACCCTAAAGCAAAAACCTCTCCAAAAGAAAGAAAGAGAGAAAGAGAGTAGCTTCCAAGAGAAGATGCTGCTCTCACAAGACTCCCCTTCAAGCGGAGACAGGAGTCAGTGGGCAATGTCCCTGCAGAGTGATCAGAAACCCCAGGAGGCCTCAAGAGGCACCGAAACCTGCCTGAGAGGAGGTGAAGGCTGAAACGAGCCTTGGGAATTTAGCAGGATTAGTAGCGATTTTGGGTCCAGGACCGAGGGTGGTAAATGCCAACGAACCCCCAGGAAGTTCCCGGGCTTCTAGAGAGTCAAGGTGTGTACCATAGAAAGAGAACAGTACAAGGGGCCTTTTTTTTTTTCTTTTTTTTACTTGTTCATTTATTTTAATTTGACCAGAGAGAGAAGAGACACATAGAGAGAGAGGAAAAGTGAGAAAGCATGCCACCACATCTGGGATTCGAACCGTGGTTAGCCATGTGGGAGTGTCCAGCACTTTAACCACCATGCCATCTGCTGGTCCCTTTTTTTTTAAAGAGAGATTTTGCTATAGGGTATGTACTCACCAGAGAGACAGAGAGACAGAAAGAGAGAAATCACCCCTCTCAGGGAGGATTACCATCTTGCACTCCCTTCTCTTCCATTGTCCTCTAGGGATTTTGGGCATGCACGCACATGTGCCCGGCATGAGTTTCAAGCCTTGTAGTCCAGGACTCAAACTGCAATCAGCCATATGGGAGTCCAGCAGCATCACCATTATGCCATCTGCTGGTCCCAGGAAGGGCCTTGCTCACTGTGGTTTGAGTCCCAGACCCGCCAGTTTGAAATTCATGCTAGGTGCATAAGTGTACATGCCCAAATTCCTAAGAGAATGGATGGGAAGAGATTGTAGCATGGCCATCCCCCCAGGGGATGATTTCTCACTTTCTTTCCATCTGTCTGTCTCTGGTGAATGCACATGCTCTATAGCAAAATTCTCTCCAGAAAAAAGAAAGAAAGAAAAGAAAAGAGAGAAAGAGAGAATGGAAGAGAGAAAGAAAGAAAGAAAAAAAGAAAGAAAGAGAGAAAGAAAGAAAGATCGATTCAAAAAACACATGGGCCACACGTGCATGCCTACCCAGAGTTCCAGGAGGAGAATGGAGGAGAAGGGATTGCAGTGTGGCCATCCCCCCGGGGGGCAATTTCTCACTTCATCTCTCTCTCTCTCCCCGTCTCTTTCAACCTCTCTTGCAAGCACATGCACCCTATAGAAAAATAATGGGGCTTCTAATGGTAGCTACTTCTTAGAGTGCTGGTGAAGTTTGCTGAAGAAATAAGGCATGCAAGGTGCTCACCACAGGGCTTGGCATGCAGAAGATGTCTGGGAAGTGCAACTATTACTCATCCTATGGGATGGTGGCAGGGAACAGAAGTGGCTCAGAGCCTTCCCCACTGAGCCAGGGCCCAAGCTGTGGATGAAGTGTCTGATACCGCCCCCTCGTTCCATCAGGTTACCCGGGTTTCCAAGCCACGACCTACGCCAGCCGGAGTTACACAGGCCTCGCCCCCGGCTACACCTATCAGTTCCCCGGTAAGTCCTGCTCCATGTCCCTCCACGGCCAGCATGTCCCCAGTTCCTGGGCAGTGTGACTCCTCAGGGCGGTGTCTTGGGGGGGGAGGGGGTGCATGGCTGGGGGTCTGCCTGCTGGAGGCTTGGAAGGAAGGGCATGTCTGAGGAAGGAACGGCATGTCTGAGGAAGGGCCTTCCCCTACCCGGTCCCTTCCCTCCTCCTCCCCAGAAGCTGGGATGGGCTCCTGGCAGGGCCCTGCATGCCACCGTCCTCACCTAGGAGTGCCTCTGCCTGCTTCCTGCCTTTCTTTCCTTCCTGCCGACTCAGGATTGCCACTTCCCCCAAAAGGGCATCGGGCTTGTCGGGAGGGGCAGGGGCCCTGGGCCAGTGTTGGTTGTGTCTTCGTGGACACACTTATAATGACCAGGTGCTGAAATGACCAGGTGCCGAGCCTTTGAAGGCTGGACAGGCCCCTTTTAGACCTTAAATGCTGAAAAACGATTGGATTAAGCATTATAATCACCACCTTCGTGTGTAATGCAACATAAAAATAACACTAGCCCTTAAAATAAATGGCAGGAGACCCAGCGAAGTTCTGGACTTTCTCCAAATGACTATTCAATGTTGTTTTCTTCGAAATATCAAATTATCACATGTCGAACCTTTGCAAGCCTTTTTTTTTTTTTTTTTTTGGGGGGGGGTCATCTTACTTATTTGAAGGGTTCCTAAGCATTTGTATCCTCTGCCTCTTGGGCAGTTCAGCTTGGCATTCTTTGTATGACATTATAGTGTTCCATCCTCCCAATAATTTCATGGAGGAAGGGTGATTGTCCCCGTTTTCTAGCTGAGGAGACGGGTCAGAGAGGGAAAATGACTTGCTCAAATGGCTCCATCCTACAAGTGGCAGAGCTGGGAATCAAACCCAAGCCCGACCTGTTTATTCTAAGGCTATCACTTTTCATCAAGCCGCATCCCAGCTCCTCCTTTCCCCACAAAAGGGAAAAAAAAAAAAAAGAAGAAGAAGAAGAGGATTCTGAGATGTTTTTGGTGTAATCCTGAGTCTTTAAAGAAGTACCCAGAATTGCAGCCCCAATATCGCCCCACGCCCAGGGTACAGGTGGCAACTCTGTCCGTGCTTTCTCTCTCGCTCTCTGTCCCTCTCTGTGTCTGCGTCTCCTGCCCCTCCCCTGCCTGCTGGAGATCCAGCTGTCCCCCTCCCCAGCTCTTGGGTCCTGTGCATGGGCACTCTTGTCACCCAGTGTCCCTGTGGGTACATTTGTCCTCCCTGGCCCATGCCGGAGGGACCTCCCCTGCTTCTTCTTAAGCTGTTTTACGTTTCATTTTAGAATTCCGTGTAGAGCGGACCCCTCTCCCGAGCGCCCCAGTCCTCCCCGAGCTTACAGGTCAGTCGCTCGGATTTCGTACACCTCATAGGCCACACGGGGAGAAAAAGAAGGGGCCCAGGGACTTTCCTGGAGAAACCTGGCGGGACCCTCTCCTCCTCCTGCCAGCCCTCCGTCATGGGGACACAGCAGATTGTGCCTGGGCACTGGCCAGTCTGTAGCTCCATGGCCCTTAAGGGTGGGGCAGAGGGCCAAGCCAAGCAGATGGAGGCAAAGTCGCTCGTTCATCCATTTGGCAAATATTTATCTAGCACCTCCTGTATGCCAGGCACCACGGAGGCTCCGGGACCCAGCGGTGAGCAAGCCAGGGTCTCAAACCCAGTGGGCACGGTGGGGTGGGGCAGAGACTTCTGCAGACTGGAGCGGGCGTGCCTGCACTTAGGTGCCAGTCGACGCTGGTCAGGAGAGGACGCAGGCTCCGTCCTTTCAGGTCCTGCCTTTCCAGAGAAGCCAGAAACCTGGCTTGCACTTAAGGACACATTTTCATTTATTTTGAAATGTTGGCAACAATTTCCAAATTTTTCAAATACCCCTGGCCAAATGAAACCTAATGGAGTACCAACTCCAGCCCAAGGACAGCCGATTCTGGACAAGCAAGAAGAAGATGCTTGGCCACTAGAGGCTGTGTCTCCAGCTGAGGCTTCCCCTTGGGCCACCAGTTCAGCTGTAGAGCTAGGGACAAGGCCGAGGTAGGGACAGGCCACGTGCACACGAGGTGGGCTATGAGGGGTTTCTCTGTCCAACCTGCTTGTCCACCCACCCCAACCCCATACTCTTCCCCTGACCCTGGCCGTGTGTGGAGGATGTGAGCATGAACGCTGCTTTAGATGAGACCTTCCTTCCAAGGAGTGCCCAGGGGTTCCCCATAATGGGAGCGGGAGAAGAGAAACACAGGGCAGGGTAAAGGAAAGGGAGGGAGTAGAGTTCGAGAGGTAGAAGTGATAGGCCCTCTTCCCTGGACAGTTTTACCCGCAACTGAGGGGAGGTGGAGGACTACAAGAGGGTTCTTTTTACCTATTTAAGGATGTGTGGGGCTGGCAGGTGGCAAGGTAATTAAGGGTGCTGGACTCCCACATGGTCAACCACAGTTCGAGTCCTAGACCTGAAGGCTTACTTTCTCACTTTCTCTCTCTCTTTTTCTTACTTTCTCTTTCTCGCTCTCTTGTTCTCTCACTCTCTCTGTTCAAATTTTTTTAAAAAGTAAATAAATAAAGTTAAATAAAAGAATTCTTTTTAAAAAAAAAAAGAGTATGTGGAGACCAGCAGGTAGTGTAGTACTGCAGTTCGGGTCCCAGACCCGGTGGCTTGTTTTCTGACGTTCCCATTCTTTCTCTCTCTGTCTCTCTGATGAGCACATGTGCCCTATAACAAAGTTTTAAAAAATAATAATGATGATGGGGTCAGGAGATGATGTAATGGTTACGTCTCTGGATTCACACTTAGTGGACCACGGTTCGAGTCCTGGACCCAGCAACTTAAAACTCATGCTGGGCACATACACATGCGTGCCCAAAATTCCGAGAGGAAAATGGAGGAGAAGGGATTGCAGTGTGGCCACACCACTGGGTAGTGATTTCTTGCTTTCTGCCTCTCTGTCTTCAGTGCACATATGCGCCCTATAGCAAAAATATCTCTCTCAAAAAACAAACAAAAAAGATAAACAATATTAAACAAATAATGACTTTTTTTAATTTAAAAAACATGTGGTGGCTAGCGGGCGGCATGGTGGTTAACGTGCTAGACTCCTTTTTTTTTTTTAAATTATTTTATTTAACTTTATTTATTTATTTATTCACTTGTTTATTTTAATTTGACCAGAGAGGGACAGAGTAAGAGAGAGGGAAAGTGAAAAAGCAAGCCACCAAGTCCTGGACTCGAACCATGGTCAGTCATGTGGGAATACAATGCCCTTTTTTTTTTTGGAGAGGCTTTTACTATAGGGCATGTGCACTCACCAGAAAGACAGAGAGAGACATAAACCAAGAAAGCACCCCCTAGGGGGGATAACCATGCTGCAATCCCTTCTCCTCCATTCTCCTCTTGGGATCTTGGGCACGCATGCACATGTACCCAGTGTGAGTTTAAGCTGCTGGGTCTGGGACTCGAACTGCAGTTGACTACATGTGAGTCCAGTGACATAGCCATTACACCAACTGCTGGTCCCAATCCAGTGCTCTTAACCACTGTGCCACCTGCCAGCCCCAAGGTGCTGGACTCTCCTATATGACTGACCATGGTTTGAGTCCGACCTGGCAGCTTGCTTTCTCACTTTCCCACTCTCTAGTTCTCTCTGTCTCTCTCTGGTGCACATGCCCTATAACAAATTAAAATCATAATAAAAAAGGAGCCAGCAGGTGGCGTGGTGGTGGTTGAGGAGCTGGACACTTCCACATGGTCTATCATGGTTTGAGTTCCAGACCTGGTGGCTTGCTTTCTCACTTTCCTTCTCTCTGTGTCTGCCTTTCTCTGGTCAAATTAAAATAAATGAATGAATGAATGAAATAAATAATTCTTTTTTTTGTAAAGATAATTTAATATTTAAAAAAAAAAACAGTAAATAACATTAAATAAATAATTCTTAAGCAGACCCAAAAAAAAGAACATGTGTTGAGGACCTGCTGTGTGTGGGCCGCTCTGCCAGTCTGCCAGGTTTGGGGACCACAATAGGGAAAACCTAGTCCTGTTCTCAATAAACTTACAGTTAGATAGGGAAACAAATACTTAAACAAGTAGGTACAGTTGTCCCTTGGTATCTGAGGGTTCCAGGACCCCTGCAAATATCAAAGCCTGTAAATGCTCAGGTCCTTCATATAAAATGGTGTGGTAGGGGCCAGCAGGTGGCATGGTGGTTAAGGTGCTGGACTCCCACATGATTGACTGTGGTTTGAGTCTCGGTCCTGGCGGCTTGCTCTCTCACTCTCCATCTCTCTCTCTTTCTCTCTCTGCCTCTCTCTGGTGAATTAGATAATAATTCTTTTTTCTTTTTTTTTAAAAAGGATGTGGTGGGGGCCAACAGGTGGCATAGTCGTTAAGGTACTGGACTTCCACATAGCCGACCACAGTTCAAATCTCAGATCTGGCAATTTGAAAATCATGGCGGGCGTGTGTATGTGTGTGCCCAAAATCCCAAGAGGAGAAGGGAGGAGAAGGCATTGCCATCTGGCCATCCCCACTGGGGAGTGATTTTTCACTTTTCCTCTCTCTAAATCTCTGTCTCTCTCCTTTCCAGTGAATGCACTCTCCCTATGACAAAAACCTAAAAAAAAAAAAAGAAAAGAAAAGAAAAAAGAAAAGAAAAGGAAAGGGAAAAAATGATGTGGTATTTGCATATAACTTAGACATAGCTCTCTGTGTAATCTAAGTCTTCTCCAGATTACTTACAGGGCTCACCACAGTGTACATACTGCATAGATAGTTATCCTGTATTGTTTAGGGAATAATGACAAAACAAGTCTGAATCTGTCTAATATAGTAACAACAAGAACATTTTTAATGATTTATTTATTCCTTGAGTGAGACATAGAGATACAGCACCCCCAGACAGGGTCCTGTTACTGTGACCCACCCTCCAGTCTCAGCCAGCCTCAGATCACGGGCACCTGCATGCCCAGTGTACTCAGGGAAGTCTCTGGCCTTGAACTGAGAACCTTCCCATGTGGGTTAGCCTCATAGAGCATCACATTTTACAACTGTTCCACTAACCAGCCCCCCACATTAAGATTTCTAAAAATTCTTCAGTTATTTATTTATTCAACTTAAACTTTAATTGTTATTATATTTTTAAGAATTATTTTATTCAACTTTATTCTTTATTTTATTTTATTTACTTCTTTTTTTTTTTTTTTTTTTTGAGAGGTTTTTGCTATCTGGTGCGTGCACTTGCCAGAAAGACAGAGAGAGATAGAGAGACAGAAAGTGAGAAATCACCCCCCAGGGGGATGGCCATGCTGCAATCCCTTTTCCTCCATTCTCCTCTTGGGATATTGGGCATGCACGCACATGCACCCGGTGTGAGTTTAAGCCATTGGGTCCGGGACTCGAGCTGTGGTCGACTACATGGGAGTCCAGTGACATAGCCTTTATGCCAGCTGCTGGTCCTTATTCATTATTATTTTTTTAATTTGACCAGAGAAAAAGAGAGAGAGAAAGTGAGAAAGCAAGTCACCAGGTTTGGGTCTTGAACCACAGTTGGCCATGTGGGAGTCCAGCTCCCTTAACCACCATGCCACCTGCTGGCCCCTATTTATTATTATTTTTAAAAATTTGTTATAGGGTATGTGTGCTCACCAGAAGGGGAGAGAGAGAGAGAGAGAGAAAGAGAGAGAGAGAAAGAGAGAGATATGCTGGCCCTCAACATTTTTTTTTCCAAAAAAGAATTATTTTACTTTATTTATCATTTTTTAAAAGAATCGTTCTATTTAACTTTATTTATTTATTTTTATTTGACTAGGGTGTAGGGAGAGACAAAATGAGAAAGGAAACCGCCAAGTCTGGGACTCAAACCACTGTTGCCCTTAATCACCACGCCATCTGCTGGCCCCTATTTTTTTCTTTTTTCTTTTGCTATAGGACATGTGTACTCACCAGAGAGAGACAGAGAGAAAAGGACAGAGCGAGAAAGCAAGCTGTCAGGTCCAGGACTCAAACCGCTGTTGCCTGTGTGGGAGTCTATCTCCTTCACCGCCATGCCACCTGCTGGCCCAACGCCAACATTTTCTGTCTGTACTTAGTGACTCCACAGATGTGGAACTGTGGAAGGCCAGCAATGATATGGAAGGCCAACTGTGATTTATAGTTCTGATAAGCTCTTGTTTGGGTTGCTCTGTGGAAATGCCTTCATGGGCCAAAAACCAGACGGCACAGCCCAGCCCAGCCCCTGCCTCTAAGGAACTGAGGGAGGGGGACCAGCAGATGCCGTAATAGTTACACCCCTGGACTCCCTCGTACTTGAACGCAGTCTGAACGGTGGCTTAAAACGCCGGGCATGTGTGTGTCCAAGATCCCGAGAGGAGAATGGAGGAGAAGGGATTGTGGCATGGCCATCCCCCTTGGGGGGTGATTTCTCGCTTTCTGTCTCTCTTGTCTCTCCAGTGAACATGCATGCCCTATAGCAAAAATTTCTCTCAAAAGAAAAACAAAAAACACAAACGAAAAAAACCTAAGGGAAGAAAAGACATCTTAGCAGGGGAGAAAGTGGGTTCAAAATTTAGCAATCTGGGGGAGTCTAGGGTCTGATCTTTTCTCGTATTTGGTCAGTATCTCTTGTGCCAGATGGCACCCCGGGCACGACAGGGAGACAGCAATAAACAAGGAAATAAACAAGTACCTAGCATATACCCAGAGAAGTTCCACAAGGAAAATAAAGCAGGGAGCTATGCTGTGGTGTTAGGGTTGGTGACAGGGAACTGCCTTAGTGAGCATTCAAGGAAGGCTTCTCAGAGGAAGGGATATCTTAGTGAGGAGGAGCCAACTCTATGAAGATCTCAGGAGAGACTCCTTCAGGGTGCTGGAACCATAGTCCTGGATTTAATCCTTCAGCCCAGTAGCCTTTCCAAGGATCTTCAAGGATCTTTTCTGGGATCCCTAGGCCTAGGTCTAGTTCCAGGTCAGGGCCAAGGTCACCATACCAGCCCCAAGGGGCACATCTTGGGGTGGGAGACTGGTGTTTCTGAAGGCTTGCAAACCCAACACCCTGGTGCTCTGCTCCAGGTGGAGGTGTCAGCCTTTTAGAGGCTGCAGTTGTAGAAACATCCAGCAGGGGGCGCTCTCCTTTCACCCTTAGCTCTAGGCTCTCACTTGGGTTTGTTATTTATTTATAGATTTTTTTGCTATAGGGTACCTGTGCTTGCTGGAGAGACAGAGAGACAGAAAGCAAGAAGTTATCCCCTAGTGGGGATGGTCATATCCCAATCCCTTCTCCTCCATTCTCCTCTTGGAATTTTGGACACACACGCACATGCGCCTTGCGTGAGTTTTAAGCCACTGGGTTCAGGACTTGAACTGTGGTCGACTACGTGGGAGTTCAGCGACTTAACCATTTTGCCATCTGCTGGTCTTTATTTTTTTAAGAATTCTTTTATTTTTATATTTATTTATTTATTTTAATTTGACCAAAGTGGGGGAGAGAGAGAGAGAGAGAGAGAGAGAGAGAGAGAAAGCAAGCTACCAGGTCCAGGACTTGAACTGCAGTCAGCCATGTGGGAGTCTAGTGCCCTTAATCACCACGCTACCTGCCAGCCCCAAGCCAGGGGTTATTTAAGCAGAGGTCTCCTCCACTCCTTCAGCAGACATTTATTAAGCTCCTGCTGTGTGCAGGACAAGGGGCTAGGTGCAGTGGAGATGGGGTGGAGGTAGACAGCAAACAAGAGGAAAGCAAGCCAGGTCCCTGTGTCTGAAGAGGGGGTAACAGAAAAGGGGCTGGGTAAACCGGGAGGAGAGAGTGGTCCTGTCCGGCTGGGTGCTTGGGTGTGGGGAGAAGAGGCTGAGGAGGGTAGGGCAGGCAGCGAAGCTTGGCCTTGGCTGGAGCCTAGCCTTAGCCTGACCCTGCAGGAGCCCTGGCACCTGAACCGCACCAGTCTGCCCTACCTTGGGCCTGGCTGTCGGTACCCGTGTCACACAGACACTGGCACAGTTGACTGGGCTAGCACCTCTGGGTTAGGTGGCCCTCGTTCTACCAAGGACACTTTCTAGAGAAAGAGACAACTGTGAGCGGCCACACAGCAGCTCAGTGTTGGTGTCCTGGCCCACCCCCTGTGGGTGTAGGCTGTCCACATGTGTCCCTTGAGTCCAGGGCAGGAACTGAGGCTGAGCGGCTCACCGGAACGCCATCCTCCCTCCTTTTTTCCACCCATCCTGCGAGTCAGGACACAGATAGCAAGGTAGTGCCTTCTTCCCTGACCCCTCTGAGGTGGGATCAGGCTGGAGAAGCTCTGCCAGTAGGTAAGGGCCTCCTTCATCCGCCCCTGGCCCCCCAGCAGCCATACTCAAGTGCCCATACCTTCCTTTTCAGCCATTCCTCTTACTGCTTATGGACCAATGGCAGCAGCGGCAGCAGCGGCGGCTGTGGTTCGAGGGACAGGTGAGGCCTTCTGGGATACAAGAAGCAAGGGGTGTTGGGGTACACGGGCAGAGAAATCCAGAGGGGAGAGGAGGTGGCCACTGCCACCCCTTTGCAGAGGGACACATTTATTCATTCACCTAGCAAGTATTAACTGAGCATCTACTCTGCGCTGGATGTCATGCCAGCGTCAGAGAGCCAGCCCAGAATGACACTGGCAGAATCTCTGCCCTGCCTAGCCTACAGGCTTGTGGGGGGCACCAGAAATAGATAGAAAGGCAATAATTCTGAAGGATGCTGCTCCTCCACCAGGTGGAGTCAGGGACCAGAGGAGCTCCTGGCTGGATCCTCTAGGAAAGACTAGAAAGGCTTCTAGGAGGAAAGGCCTCTTCCGAATTAAAGGCAAAAAGGAAGAAAAGTGCTTCTGGTCAAGGGGATAGCATTTGCAAAGGCTTGGGGGCTGGTTAGCATAGGTAGAGTCCAAGAGTTGGAAGTGAGGAGCCGGAGGCAGGAGAGCCAGGTCTTGGAAATAGGTGGACATTTCAGGCAGCAGAGAGCTGTTGATCTGGGTATAGAAATACATATGGCTATAAAGTGGGGAAAAGTGGGAAGAGGCTTATGAGGAGCGTCTCTGAGTGGTCAGACCGCAGATGGTGGGGGCCTGGGTGGGGCAGGTGGGGTGCATGGACTTGGAGATATTTCCATGAGGTAGAGTCACAGGATTTGCAGGGTGTGGGGGGGTCAAGGTCAGGATGGCGGGGAGGGCCGGCGGTGGGCACCAGGGCTATCACCATCTTCTTTCTGGGTTGCCAGGCTCTCACCCCTGGACGATGGCTCCCCCTCCAGGTTCGACTCCCAGCCGCACAGGGGGCTTCCTGGGGACCACCAGCCCCGGCCCCATGGCCGAGCTCTACGGGGCGGCCAACCAGGACTCGGGGGTCAGCAGTTACATCAGCGCCGCCAGCCCCGCCCCCAGTACCGGCTTTGGCCACAGTCTTGGGGTGAGGGGCCTGGGCCTGCGGCCCCCGCCTCACCCCCTACCCAGGGAGAGCCCAAAATGAGGAGAGGGAAAGGGTGTGTCAGTTTTCAGTGGCAAAAGGCCAGGGCAAGAGATAATGAATGGAGAAAGAAAGCATTGCTAAGGGGGAGAAATCGGGGTTATCGTTCATTTAATGGGCATTTAGTCCTCACCCTCTGTATGCCAGGCATCAGACACACAAACATGACACACCTCTGCCCGGATGGAGGTTAGATTTCCTGGGCCCAGTGGACGGCGTAATGGTTACATCACTGGACTCCCACATAGTCAACCACGGTTTCGAGTCCCGGACCTAAAGGCTTCAAACTCATGTCGGGCACGTGTTTGCGTGTGCCCAAAATCCTGAGAGGAGAATGGAGGAGAAGGGATCGCGGCATGACCATTCCCTTCGGGGGATGATTTCTCATTTTCTGTTTCTCTGTCTATCTCTGTCTCTCTAGCGACCGCATGCACCCTATAGCAAAAATCTCTAAAAAACAAAAACAAAAACAAAAAACAATTTCCTAGTTCGACCATTAGATGCCCTAGTTTTTAACCAGGTTACTGGTTATAAGCAGATTTCTAAGACCCCGCCCTGGAGAACCCTTGGTCCACAGTGAGAATAATATGGGCAGAATAGGGAAGGTCTCACTGAGGGTTTCCTGTGGGAAAGGGCAGGAGCTCCTGGGATCTCTCTTCTTTCCCCAGGAATCTAGAAGTCAAATTCTTTTCTTTTTAGGGCCCCTTGATTGCCACAGCCTTCACCAATGGGTACCACTGAAACAGGGGACCAATGGCAGGAGGTGAGGAGGCGGGGAGTGGGGTGGGGTTGGTACTGGGGAAGCTGGCCCTGGGTGATCCATTGTGTGGGGCACAGACCCCCTCCCTGCCCTCAGAGAACCCACAGTCCCCTGGGAGACAGACTTTTATACCAACAAGGTCAATACCCAGGTGAAAAGCTGTCCGACCTGCTACATTTCAAAACATAAATCAAGGGAAAAAAAAACATAAATGACGGGGTCAGCAGGTGACTCGATAGTTTAGGTACTGGATTCCCACATGACTGACCATGGTTTGAGTCCTAGACCCGGCAGCTTGAAAATCAGGCGGGATGCTTATGCATGCATGCCCAAAATCTCAAGGAGAATGGAAAAGGGATTGTGGCGTGGCCATCCCCCATAGGAGTTGACTTCTCACTTTCCTTCTCACAGTCTCTCTGCCTCTCTCTGGCGAGGGCATGTGCCCTATAACAAAAACCTAAATTAAAAAAAAAAAAAAAAAAAAAGGGAACAGCACCTATCAGGTTGGCAAAGATTGTTCAAGGCTGATAAGGCTCAGTATGGGTGGAGGTATAGGGGAAATCGTGAGTAATTTGGCTCCAGGTTGCTAAGGGGCACTGTTTATCCAGATTTTAAACATCCATGCCCTTCGACTCAACAATTCCACTCCTAGGCATTTATTTTTAACACGGCAAATAGCTGAAATGCCCATCAAACAGAGAGCGAGTAAATAAACGAATGTGTGCATACGAAGGAATAGTACACAGCTGTCAGGAGAGCTGACACGCAGGCCCGGGCACGCTGTCCTCACTGTGGCGTGTGGAGGCGGCGTGGTACCGTGCCAAGCCATGACATGTCCACTATGCACTCGCTCATTCATGTGAATAAATCCTGAGCCTTACTCCAGGAAAGATAGAAATGGCCAAGACAGACAAGGCGCTCTCTCGTCCTACACATAAAAAGCAAGTGACCAAAGGAGGTCATTCCAAGTAAGGTGCAAGGGGATCACTTTAGATTAGGGATTCAAGACGGCGTCTCTGAGAATTGACATTTAAATAAATCCAGCCATTCAAAATCCAGGAAAAGACGTTCCAGACATGGAACAGAAAGAGCAAAGTCTTCCAGGAGTGGGTTAGGCAAGGGTATGTGTGTTCAGCGGTAGGGGGACCCCAGAGACAGGCAGGGCTGAGCCAGACTCCTCCATAACCTCCTACTGTGTTCCCAGCACCCCAACCTGCAGCTGACTGAGGACCACGAGTGAGCCAGCGAGGGGGCGGGACACCTCAGCCGCAGCCTCCGCCCCCCCCCCCCGCAGCGACTCGGACCCTGCTACTGCCCCCCCTACTCCTCGGGCCTGGCCCCTGCCCTGCTGTCCTGCCATCCACTGGTTCCCCTACTAACCTCCCCATCTTCCGCCCTTATCCCCCTCCCGACCTCCCCACTCCCTGCCCGCTTTTATTTATTTTGGATTAGCCGGTTGCCCCCAACCCCTCCGGTCTTGGGTCTGCACCCTCCTCCCTGCCGTGCCCCCCTAGGACGGCCCCCCCCAGAAAGCTTTTGTATTTGTGCATAGATAGAGCGAGGGCGGAGGGAGCCTGCTACAGGCCGCAGCCCTAACCCTTGTTTTTATTCCCACCTTTTTCTCTTTCCTTTTTTTTTTTTTTTTTTAAAGAAATCTTTTTAAAACTATTTCTAGGTTTGTGAATGTGAAGCCCCAGGCCGCAGGGGGCAAGGGGCCAGGTGCCCCCCCACCAGCTGAGAACAAAGTGTCTATGCGGGTGCGGGCCCCTGGCCGCCTCCCTCCAACCCCGGAGAGGAGGGCAGGCTGTGGGTAGGCCAGGCCGAGCCCCTGCAACCATCCCGTCTGTATCATATGTAAATACTGTGAGGTGGAGCCCCCCTCCCTCAGACCCCCACGGAGGTGAGGGCACGGCCTCGCTCCACTCAGCAAAGGTCTCTCCTGTCCCGTTTCTGTCCCCTCCTCAGACACCGTTACTGTAAGCTTGCAGGCCTCAGCTGTGGCCCTGGCAGGCCCGCTCTCTCAGGCCCTCGGGGTCGAGGCCTTGAGCCTTCTCACCCCAAAAACCCAGTGTAGGGGCAACAAGGGGCCCAGGGAGAGGGGGCTTGCAGGGTCGCTGCTGGCAAGGAATTAACTCTCCAAAGGGCTCCCTGCCGACTGCCAGGTTGGCCTTTCCGGGTTCTCCCTCTGAGACCCCCACACCCGTGAGTGGGCAGCGGGGGCACTTTGGTAAGGGGCAGACCCCAGGGGGAAGCAAAGGGCTTCTCAGGGAACCCCCACATTCTCTCACTGAAGTTTCCCACCAGGTTGGGCCCATGGCCAGAGCCCCTTGGCAAGGCCCCCTTACCCCAGAGCCCCCTTCAAAGGAAAATAAGAGGCTCAGGGTGTGAGCTGCCACGGACAGGGATCTGGCTGGCCGGGCAAGGCCGAGGCCCCCCATTGTCGCCCCCCTTCTCCATGTCCCTCTCCCCTGGGTCGGAGGCTGAGGGCCTCAGTTCCCTTCCCCATCACACCCCCCTTTGGAGAGTTAATCATCTGTGTGAGGTGCTTAACCTGTCAGCCCTGAGAACACAAAGCAATAATCTTTGTTACTGAGATGCGCGGCTGTTCGTGTTTTTGGTTTTTTTTTTTTTTTTAAATGTTTCCTAATAAAAGAGAAGCTGCATTTTATTGGTTTTTATTTTTAATTTTCTACACAGTTGAGCTGAGTCCTGAGAGACTTGGCACCCCTTAAATCCCAGTCCCCTGCCTCTCCCCCACGACTGGGCCCAACCATAGGCTCAGAGCCCTGAATTCCGTTTTCTGATTTGTTTGGGGAATTTTTTTTTTTTTTTTTTTTTTTTTTTTTTAAGATGTTACATGGTGTTTCGAAGCCAGCAAGTTACCACCGTCCGGTGTCTCTTCTCTCCACATCTGTAACTTCTTTTTCCAGGTTTTATTTTCAGTTTTAAATTCCTAATAAATTATTTGAAAACGGGTCTGGGTGTGAGTGTCTTGCGGCTCCATGTAAATTCAGGTTGAAGTATCCCAAGGGGATTCATTTTTCTGCTGCAGGACATTGAACTTCACCTCCGTCTGCTTAGCGTTCCAGCTGGGTCCAAGAATCAAGCTGACATGGGACAGATTAACAGGAGAAAAACATACACATTTATTTTTTAAAAATTTTTAAAGGAATAAGCTGCCAGGTCCGGGACTCGAACCACAGTCAACCATGTGGGAGTCCAGTGCCATAACCACCATGCCACCCGCTGGCCCCTCACATTTATTTTATTTCATACAAACTTTAAGTGGCACAAGAACCTTCAGAAAGAAGGGGGGGCAGGGCTCAGGGTAAAAAAAAAAAAACATACAACAGACACAGAAATGGAAAGTTACCCGTTGATGATGTGTAGAGCAATATCTCTGACCTGATTGACGTACACTGCATGCATGCTGGGAAAAGCCATGTCGTAGGCTGTAAAAATTCACAATGATTGAGGCTAGCAGGTGGCGTGGTGGTTAAAGACACTGGAATTCCACGTGGCCAAGAATGGTTCAAGTCCTGGACCTGGTGTCTTGCTTCCTCACTTTCCCTCTCTCTTTTTCTTTCTCTGATCAAATTGGAAAATAATAATAAAAGTTAAAATCATTAAAAAAAAAAAAAAGATTCACGATTTAATGGAAAGAAAGAATGGAAGGAAGGAGGGGCCAGCAGGTGGTGTGGTGCTTAAATGTTCTGGAATCTCGCATGGCCAACTGTGGTTTGAGTCCCGGACCTGGCGACTTGCTGTCCCTCTCTAGTCAAATTTAAATAAGTAAATAAAGTTAAATAAAATAGTTCTTAAAATAAAAAGAATGAAAAGAAGGACGAGGTGAAAAGAAGATTAGGAAAGGAGAGAGAAAAGAAGGGGAATGGTACCAACAGTTGGTATAATGGCTATGTCACTGGACTTTCATGTAGTTGACTGTGGTTCAAGTCCCGGGTCTGATGGCTTAAACTCAGACCGGGCACGTGTGTGTGTGTGTGTGTGTGTGTATGTGAGTGTGTGTGCATGCCCAAGATCCCGAGAGAAGAATGGAGAAGGGATTGCGGCGTGGCCATTCCCGCACCCCGGGGGGTGATTTCTCGCTTTCTCACTTCTTTTTGGCAAGCGCACGCACCCTATAGCAAAAATCTCTCTCTCAATAATAATAATAATAATAATTAGGGACCAGCAGATGGTGTAACAGTTACATTGTTGGACTCCCATGTAGGTGACAGCAGTTCAAGTCTCTGACCTGGTGACTTAAAGCTCAAATCAGGGGGCTGGCGGGTGGCATGGTGGTTAAGGGTGCTGGACTCCCACATGGCCAACTGCGGTCTGAGTCCCAGACCTGGCGGCTTGCTTTCTCACTTCCTCTCTATCACTCTGTCCCTCTCTGGTAAAATTAAATTAAATAAGTAAATAAACTTATTTAAAAAAAATAATAAATTGGGAACCAGCAGTTAGCGTAATGGCTATGTCGCTGGACTCCCACGTAGTCGACCGCGGTTCATGTCCCGGACCCGGTGGCTTAAAAACTCATGCCGGGCGTGTGTGCGTGCCTGCCCAAGATCCCGAGAGGAGAATGGAGGAGAAGGGATTGCTGCGTGACCATCCCCCCTGGGGGGTGATTTCTCGCTTTCTGTCTCTATGTCTCTCTCTGTCTGTCTGGCGAGCACACGCGCCCTACAATGAAAATCTCTCAAAAAAAAAAAATAATAAAGCCAACTGGGTACGTGTGCGTGCATGCCCAAGATCCCGAGAGGAAAAGGGATTGCGGCATGGCCATCCCCCCTGTGGGGGTGATTTCTTACTTTCTATCTCTCTGTATTCCTGGCGAACACATGCGCCCTATAGCAAAAACCTCTCCAAAAAAATTAAAAAATAAAAATATTGGCAGAGTGAGACACACACATACATACAATTTTTTTTTTTTTTTACTTTCCAGAGGACATGTACTTTTAGCAGAGGTGGAGGGAGAAAGCCCCCCCACAGCGGGGTAGAACTTGTCACAGTCCATTTCTCATCTGTCAGGAGGTTGTGCATGTGCACACCTGCCCAGGGTATTTTTCCAAATTGCTGGGATTCGGATTGGACTTGGTCATGTGGGGCTCCCTTAATCGCTGAGCTGCAGGGCCGGCCCAAGTGTGTGTGTGTGTGTGTGTGTGTGTGTGTGTACACAAGTCCACACTCAGGTATATAAACCCAAAGGAAAAGCAGGGACTCTGAGCCAGCCCGTGGGATGGTGGTTAAGCCACCTGGATGCCCTATGTCTGACCATAGGATGACCTATGTGTGCATGTGTGTGCCCAAAATCTTGAAAGGAGAGCGAAATAGAGGAGAAGAGATGGTGGCATGACTATTTTCCATGGGGGAGAGGGTGCTTTTTCACATTCTCTCTCCTTCTCCCCCAACTACCCACCCCCTTGAGCACATGTACCCTCTGGCAAAATTTTTAAAAAAAACAGAGGGACCAGCAGGTGGCATGCTGGTTAAGGCCATGGAATTCCCACATGGTTAATCACGGCTTGAGTCCCAGACCTGGCGGATTGAAAATCACACTAGGTGCGTGTGTGTGTGCATGCCCCAAATCCCCAGAGACAGTGGAGGAGAAGGGATTATGGCATAGCCATCCCCTTGGGGAGTGATTTTTCATTTTCTTTGTCTATGTGTCTCCAGTGGGCAAACATACCCTATGGCTAAAACCTAAAAAAAAAAAAAAAAAAGGTGAGAAAGTAGGGACTCAAATGGGTATTTGTACGTGGGTGGCCACAGCAAGACTACTCACTAAAGCCACAAGGTAGAAGCAACCCGAGGGGTTGGCAGGTGGCATGGTGGTTAAGGCTGCTGGACTCCCATATGGCTGGCTGTGATTCGAGCCCCAGACCTGGTGGCTTGCTTTTTCACTTTCCCTCTGTCTTTCTTTCTCACTCTGTCCCTCTCTGGCCAAATTAAAATAAATAAATAAATCAAGTTAAATAAAATATTTATTAAAAAGAAAGAAACAACCCAAAGTCCACCAAGGGATAGCTGGAGAAATGGATAAGCAAAACGGGGCATGTACATACACAACAGAATACTGTTAGGTTGAAAGACAATGTATCCAGCACAGAGCTCGGAGTCCCAGCACTTAGAAACGCTCTGCAAGAGTCACTAGTAGTTACTTTTAAGTAGTTCCTGGAAATAGCAGCTCGGCCTTCCCAGGGCAGGCAGAGAGCTGACCTTGCCGGAGTGTGGGTACGCCGGCAGCTGAAGGAGTCAAGATGCTATCCTTAACTGTTCTTTCCACTGGGGAGTGTGTTTTTCCCAGGCTGGGAGAGGCTGGGCTTCACACACCTGTGCTGTGTCTGGGGCAGCAGGAGGTCAAGGTTCTAGAGTGTAGGCGTGCCAGGATACCGGTGACCCACCAGGTCCATTCTGCTACCTCTGTGGAGGGGCGGGGGCTGCAGAGGAACAGGCCGCACCGTGAGCCTCTGTCTAAGCAGAGAGGGTTGTAATAGCAGCCTGATTCCTCCCCCACCGGGGGCCACACCAAAGCCCCAGAACGTGAGAATTTGTCCAGACTGCCCTTGTGGAAGGCATCCAGTTGGACAGGAGAGAGGCTGTAGGAGGGACAGAGACTCCCTCTCCTGAGATGGTGTCAGAAGCACCAGATCCAACTCACATGATGGTCCTGCTGTGTGACGCTGGGGCAGTGGCTCAGCCTCTCTCAGCTGCAGTCACAGTCTATAAAGTGGGGTTTGTCTATAAAGTGGGGTTTGTCACTGAATCTTCCTCGAAGGTTTGCACCAGGTTCTTAGCCCAGGAGCTGATAGAGTCAGTTAGCTTTCAGTTAAAGGTGGTTCATACTATTAGCTTCAGTGCAGCAGGTGGTATGGTGTTTAAAGGTGCTGGATTCCCACATAGTGACCACGGTTCGAGTCCCGGACCTAGCGGCTTGCTTTCTCATTTTCTCTGTCTCTCGCTGGTCATATTAAAAGACAATAATAATAAATAAAAATAATTCTTAAAATGAATACTATTAGCTTCATAGGACTCCGGAACACCAGCTACTCTTCCTTCCTTGGGCCAAATTTAGCCACCCCCTTAGCAGGCCCATATCCGGGAGACATGTCTGTTCCTCTGCCTCGTTCTGCCCACAAAGAACCCCCATAAATGGGGCCAGCAGGTGGCGTGGTGTTTAAGGTGTTGGACACTCCCACATGTCCAACCACAGTTCGAGTCCTGGACATGGTGGCTTGCTCTCTCTCGCTCTCTTTCTCTGTGTATCTCTATGGTCAAATTTAAATAGAATGAATAAATGAATAAGATTTGAAAAAAAAAGAACCCTCATAAGAACTTAGTGGGACCAGCAGGTGGCACAGAGGTTATGGAGCTGGATCCCACAAGGTGACTGAGGTTCGAGTCTTGAACCTGGCAGTTTGAAAATCACGCCAGGTGTGTGTATGTGCATGCCCAAAATCCAGAGAGGAGAATGGAGGAGAAGGGATTGCTGCATGATCATCTCCTCTGGGGGGTGATTTCTCACTTCCTCTCTCTCTGTCTCTCTCCAATGAGAGCACAAGCCCTATGGCAAATAAATAACAACAACAACAAAAACAATAGAGGAAACTGGGGGAGAGGATGGGAGGATGTGGGAACTCTGCTCAATTAAAAATAAGTAAGTGATGGGGCTGGCAGGTGGCATGGTGGTTGAGGCCGACTGTAGTTCGAGTCCCGGACTTGGCAGCTTGCTTTCCCACTTTCTCTCTTTCTCTCTCTGTCCTGCTCTGGTCAAATAAAAATAAATAAATAAATAAAGTTCAATAAAATAATTCTTAAAAAAAAAAAAGTAAGTGAGGAACCAGCAGGTGACACAGTAGTTACATTGCTGGACCCCACATGGCTAACGTGGTTCGAGTCCCAGACCCAGTGGCCTTAAAATCACAGTAGGCTGGGACACTTTCTCTCTTTCTCTCTCTGTCCTGCTCTGGTCAAATAAAAATAAATAAATAAATAAAGTTCAATAAAATAATTCTTAAAAAAAAAAAAGTAAGTGAGGAACCAGCAGGTGACACAGTAGTTACATTGCTGGACCCCACATGGCTAACGTGGTTCGAGTCCCAGACCCAGTGGCCTTAAAATCACAGTAGGCTGGGACCAGCAGATGGCATGATGATTAAGGTACTAGACTCCCACATGGCTGTCCATGGTTTGAGTCCCAGACCAGGTGGCTTGCTTTCTCATTTTCCCACTCTCTCTGTCCCTCTCTGGCGAGCATACATGCCCTATAGCAAATTTTAAAATATAATAAATAATTATAAATAATTCTTTATTTTTATTTGACCAAAGAGGGACAGAGTGATTGAGAGAGAGAAAGTGAGAAAAGCAAGCCGCCAGGTCCAGGACTTCAACCATGGCCAGCCATGTGGGAGTCCAATGCCCTTAACCATCGTACCACCGGGTGGCCCCAAATAAATAATTCCTTTTTTTTAATAATTACTTAATTTAAATTTAAATTTTATTTATTCCTTCATTTATTTTAATTTGACCAGAGAGAGACACAGAGAGAGAGAGAGAAAGTAAGCCAGTAAGCCACCAGGACCAGGACTTGAACAGCGGTCAGCCATGTGGGAGTGTTCCCCACTTTAACCACCACACCACCTGCTGGTCCCCAAATAAATAATTCTTTAAAAAATAAAAGTTGGAGTGGGATGTTAGCACAATGATAAAGCACAACACTCTGTGAGGCTAATTGACACAGAAAAGTTCCTGGTTTAAGTCTGCAGACCTCCCGAGAACACTGGGCACAAGCTTGCCCATGGCTCAAGGTTGGCTGAAACTGGGGGTGGCTCCCAGTGTCAAGACCCTGTGTGTGGAGGGCTGAGGTGCTCCATCTATCTCTCCTCTTTTTTCCATGGAAGAATTAACCTAAAAAAAATTTAAAAAAAAAAAAAAAGGAAAAAGAAAAGGTGTGTGTTGTTTTGGAACCAGACAGACCTAAACTTGAACCCCTGCTCTGCCATTTGCTAGCTGTGTGACCATGGGCAGATTACTTCACCTCTCTGAACCTCTTTCCTTATCCTTAAAGTGCACGACTGATGGTCCCATGATGCAATGAGATCCGCAGCACAGACTCAGGCTTCCGAAAAGACAAGCAAGCAGCAATCATCTCCTTCCCGTCCCCTGTCCCAGTTGCCCAACATGGTTGATGGCTTTCTCACCCTCACGCCTTACCCTCCATGAAGCTGGACTGAGCACACAAGAGTGAGTTTGAGAGTCAAGATTCCAAGATCCAGGGACAGCAGGTTGCATGGTGGTTGAGGCACTGGATTCCTTTGTGGCCGAGCACAGTCTGAGTCCTGGACCTGGTGGCTTACTTTCTCACTTTCCCTCTCTCTCTCTCTTTCTCTGTCTCTGTCTCTCTCTGGTGAGCATATGTGCCCTGTAGCAAATTTTAAAAAATAAAATAGGAACCAGTAGATTGAATAATGGTTAAATCGCTGGATTCCCACGTAGCCAACCATGGTTTGAGTCCCAGACCTGGTGACTTAAAAGTCACACCGGGTGCCTGTGCATGCATGTCCAAGATCTCAGGAGGAGAAAAGAGAAGGGACTGCGACATGGCCATCCCTCCTGGTGGGGGGGGATTTCTCACTTTCTGTCTCTCTGTCTCTGTCTCTCAGGTGAGCACGCATGTCCTATAGCAAAAAATTATCTTCTAAAAAATCAAAATAATGATAAATAATATTAAACAAATAATTCTTAAAAAAAGAATTATTTTATTTAACTTTATTTATTTACTTATTTATTTTAATTTTCTTTATTCATTCATTTATTTCTTTTTCATTTGACCAGAGAGAGAGTTAGAGAGAGAGAAAGTGAGAAAGCAAGCCACCAGGTCTAGGACTTGAACCGCAGTCAGCCACGTGGGAGTGTCCAACGCCTTAACCACCATGCCACCTGCTGGCCCCAATAAAATAATTCTTAAAAAAAAAAAAAAAACAGATTCCAAGATCTGCAGGCTTCAGAAATCATCCCGTTACTCAAAAGGCGCCGGATACCACTGCCTATGACTGCTACCCACAATCCCTTGCTGGAAGATTGGTCAGGATTACTTCAGCTACAGACTCAAGGCCGTCTAAGAGGTCAGCTGAGGGCAAAACAAACACTACGGTCTTATCTTGGAGGCGTGGGGCGACTGCCTATAAGGAGGGAGGCTGCTGGCCACCACAGTCCTTTCTCTCACTCACCTCCTTGACTACAAGATGAAACTCCTTGTGCTGGCCGCTCTGCTCACAGGTACGGGCGCCTTCCGGGTCCCACCCCTTCCCTCCCTGCACGCTGAGCTCTCCTCCTCTGAAATGGAGGCCAGGAGGCCTCAGGTCACAGCAGGCAGGCCTGGCCAGACCTGGGTCTCACCTGAGATCCCTCCAGGTCTGACCTCAGGTAACATCCCTCAGAAAGCCTAGTGTGGGGGACCAGCAGTTAGCGTAATGGCTATGTCGCTGGACTCCCTTGTAGTCAACCACGGTTTGAGTCCCGGACCCAGTGGATTAGAACTCACGCCAGGCGCATGTGCGTGTGTGCCCGAGATCCCCAGAGGAGAAGAGAGGTGTGTGGTGGGGCCACCCCCGGGGGGGGGGGGGGTGATTTCTCACTTCCTGTCTCTCTGTCTCTCTCTGTCTTTCTGGTGAGTGCACACGCCCCATAGCAAAAACCTCTCCAGAAAAAGAAAGAAAGAAAGAAAGTCCAGTGTGGGCCAGCCCATGGCCCGGTGGTTAAAGCAATTGGCTTCCACATGACTGACCATGCAATCCAAATCCTGGACACGGCAGCTTGGAAAACATTCCTATGCGTGTGTATGCCTGTCCGAAAGCCGGTAAAGAGGACGGACGAGATGGAGGCGAAGGGACTGAGGCGAAGGGACTGAGGCAGCGGGCCCGTGCTCCATGGGGGCTTTCTTGTTTCCCCTCTCTTCTTCTCTTTTCTGTCTCATTCCAGTGGCACTTACCAAAAAAAAAAAAAAAAAAGGAGGAAGGGAGATAGGGAGAAAGAAAGGGAGAAAGAAAGAAAGAGGGTCACCTGGTGGCGTGGAGGTTAAGGCAGCTGGATCCCACTATCCCAACTGCATAGTTCAAGTCCCAGACCTGGTGGCTTGAGAAGCATGCTGGGTGCATGTGTCTGTCCCCCAGATATGGCCATCCTCCCTGGGGAGGTGATTTCTCACTTTCTGCCTCTCTCTGGCAAGCGCATACACTCTATAGCAAAAATAAATAAATAGAAAGAAATGCCCTGCCCACCAATCTAAGAACGCCCCTTCTTTCTCTGTACCATATTGCCTTGGTACAACGTCTGCTAAAAACTGCCTTAGTCTGCGTGGTTTTTGTTTGTTTGTTTTGCTATAGGGTACGACCACTTGTTAGAGACAGTAAGACAGAGGGAAAGTGAGAAATCACCCCGCAGGGAGAAGGCCACACCGCAATCCCTTCTCCTCCATTCTCCTCTCAGGATCTTGGGCATGCACACACATGCCCAGCGTGATTTTCGAGCCCATGGGTCTGGGGCTTGAACCGTGGTCAGTCGTGTGGGAGACCAGTGCCTTAGCCACCACACTACCTGCTGACCCCTAGCCTGTGATTTTCTTTTTTAAAAGCATTATTTATTAAATTTTATTTATTATTATTCGTATTTTAAAAATTTAATTTTATTTATTCATTGATTTATTTTAATTTGATCAGAGAAAGTCAGACACACAGAGAGAAGGCAAGTGAGAAAGCAAACCACCAGGTCCAGGACTCGAACTGTGGTTAGTCGTGTGGGAATGTCCAGCAGGGACCAACAGTTAGCATAATGGCTATGTTGCTGGACTCCCGTGAAGTCGACCGCGGTTCGAGTCCTGGACCCAGTCACTTAAACTCATGCCAGGTGTGTGTGCGTGCGTGCCCAAGATCCCGAGAGGAGAATGGAGGAGAAGGGATTGTGGTGTGGCCATCCCCCCTGGGGGTGATTTCTCACTTTCTGTCTCTCTGTCTCTCTCTGTCTTTCTGGCGAGCACATGTGCCCTATAGCAAAAACCTCTCAAAAATAATATTTTTTTAATTAAAAAAAGGGAATGTCCAGCGCTTTAACCACCACGCCCTTATTATTATTATTTTAATTTGCTAGAGGGCATGTGTGCTCACCAGACTGTGAGAGAGAGAGAAAATGAGAAGGCAAGTCTGGGACTCAAATCGTGGTCTGCCGTGTGGGAGTCCGGTGCCTTAACTACCATACTGCCTGCTAGCCCCAGCCTATAGTTTTTAATAGCATTTTTGAAGAAATTATTTATTCAATTTAATTTATTATTACTATTTTAATCTGACCAGAAAGAGACAGAGAGAGAAAAGGAGAGAAAGCAAGCCACCTGGTCTGGGACTTGAACTGCATTTGGCCATGTGGGAGTTCAGCATCTTGACCACCGTGCTACCTGCCAGCCCCAGTATTTTTTGTAAGAATTATTTTTATTCAACTTTATTATTATTATTTATTTTGAGAGAAAGGAAAAGTGAGAAAGCAAGCCACCAGGTCTGGGACTCAAACCGCAGTCAACCACGTGGGAGTCCAGTACCCTTAACCACCGTGCCAACTGCCAGCCTGACTTATTTATTTATTTATTTTTAAGAATTATGTTTTTTGGGGCTGGCTTGATTTCTCACTTTCTCTCTCTCTCTTCTCACTCTGTCCCTCTCTGGTCAAATTAAAACAAATAAAGTTAATTTTATTGTTATTTTTATTTATTTATTTTTAGAGGTTTTTGCCTTAGGGCACATGTGCTCACCAGAGAGAGACACAGAGACAGTGAGAGGCAAAGTAAGACATTACCCCCCAGGGGGGATGGCCATACTGCAATCCCTTCTCCTCCATTGTCCTTCTAGGACCTTGGCATGCACACACATGCACCTGGCATGATGTTTTACCCACCGTGTCTGGGACTCGAAATTACAGTTGACCATGTGGGAGTCCAGTGACATAACTGCTATGCCTTCTGCTGGTCACAATTTTATTGTTAGATTTTCATTTGACGAGAGAGAGAGAGAAACTGAGAAAGCAAGTTGCCATGTCCGAGACTTGAACTGCATTCATCCATGTGGGAGTCCAGCACCTTAACTACCATGCCACCTGCCAGCCCAGCCTGTGATTTTTTTGTCTTATTTCACTTATTTTTTCTCTCCCACCCACACCGAAGCATGGGCTCCCTGAATAGGACTGGTTCTGTAGGCACCGTGTATTGAATGAATTAGTGGAGTCAGACACATTGGAATCCTAATCCCACCTCATTCATCCATTGTGCATTGATTCATTCAAATGGATGGAGACCTCCAAGCTATCAGGCCCTGGGTGAGAGGGGGCACGCAGAGATGAATGCTACGCTCCCCTCAAGGACTGTGCGGGGCACATGAGCTATGGCTTTGTAGAAGTCTAGCCTCTGCAAAATAGAGCCGGCTGGATCAGAAAGAGAGAGAAGAGAAAAGAGAGGGGAATAACAGGGGAGCTGGAGATGGGCCAGCATAGGCAGGTCGCCCTGTCTGAGATCTCTGCCCTGACTCAGCCTCTGTCAGCTGCTGCCGTGGGGGCCGCCTACGGGGGACAGCAGCCAGCTGCCACCCCTTCCTGGCTCTGGGGTTTATGTATTTATGTTAAATAATTATTTATTTTTGTTTCTTTAAATTGTTGTAGGAGACTCAAGCTCACCAGAGAGAGATGGAGGGGCGTGGGAGGAGTAAAAAAGCAAGCCGCTAGGTCTGAGGCTCGAACCTCAGTCAGCCTTATGGGAGTCCAGTGACTTAACCACCACTCCACCTGCCGGCCCCTTTTTTATATTCTATATTTTTTACTACAGGGTACATGCACTTGCTTTCCAGAGACATGCAGAGTGAGAGAGAAAGTGAGAACACACCCTCAGGGGGAATGGCCACACCACAATCCTTTCTCCTCCACTGTCTGACGAGATTTTTGAGCATGCATGCACACACACCTGGAGTGTTTTTCAGCCGCCAAGTCTGGTACTTGAACATGTAGCTGGCCATGTGGGATCCAGCCGCCTTAACCTCCATGCCACTAGCTGATCTGGCTCTGGGACTGAAGCACGGCCAGGGGCCTCAGCGTGCCCAGCAGATTGAGAAGAGGAAGGCTGGGCCCAGCAAATGGCAAATGGTTATATCACTGGACTCCCACGTAGTCAACCATGGTTCAAGTCCTGGACCTGGTGGCTTCAAACTCACTCCAGGTGCGTTTGTGGATGTGCCCAAGATCCCAGGAGGAGAAGGGATTGCGGTGTGGCGATCACTCCTGGGGTGTGATTCCTCGCTCTCTGTCTCTCTGGCAAGCCCATGTGCCCTATAGCAAAATCTCTCTAAAGAGAGAGAGCTGGACACTCTCACATGGCCAACCATGGTTCGAATCCTGGACCTATTGGCCCCAAACTCATCATATATTTACTGAATGTCTACAATGTGACAGGCACAATGCCAGATACTGAGGAATGAATGCCCTGAGGCCTGCTTTTGAGTTCATGGTCCTGTGATAGGAAGGATTGGTGAGTGCAGATTGTTAGGGTCCCGTGAAGTGGGGCTGGCAAGTGGCATGATGGTTAAGGCACTGGACCCCCCACATGGTCGACCACGGTTCAAGTCCGAGACCTGCCAGCTTGCTTTCTCACATTCCTTCTCTCTCTCTAGTAAGAACATGTGCCCGATAGCAAATTAAATAATAATAATAAACAAAATTAATTTTAAAAAAAGTACTGTGAAGCAAAGAGCATGAAGGAAAGGAAGGCCTTCTGGGAGGAGGTGGAATTTTTAAAAAGAATATACTCAGGACCAGCAGTTAGCATAATGGCTATGTCGCTGGACTCCCACGTAGTCCACTGCGGTTCGTGTCCCGGACCCGGTGGCTTAAAACTCATGCCGGGCGCGTGTGCATGCGTGCCCAAGATCCCGAGAAGAGAATGGAGGAGAAGGGATTGCGGCGTGACCATCCCCCCTGGGGGTGATTTCTCGCTTTCTGTCTCTCTGTCTCTCTCTGTCTGTCTGGCGAGCGCACGTGCCCTATAGCAGAAACCTCTCCAAAAAAAAAAAAAAAAGGAATATACTCAGTGAGGCCCCAAGACTTGAACCCAGAAACCATCCTACGTGGCAGGGATGGTGGCAGAGGCAGAGGGAAGAGAAGAAGCAGATTCCGGACACATGGATGCGCAGCTGGACCAGATGTGGGGGCTCCGAGGTGACGCCCAGGGTTCAGTAGAGTGAGGAGCACAGAGAGCTGTCGCACCCCGACCTAGCCACAAAACGGGCCTACTGTGCTTCTCCCCGTGGGCAACTTCCTGAGCCGCTGGGTAGCTGGGCCCCCTGAGCGGGGTGCGCTTTTCACTCATCCTTCTCTCCTGGTTTTCTTCCTGCCTCTCCAGTGAGTCCTGAGTTTTCTCTGCTCTCTCCTCTGCTCACCTTCCCAGCCCCCAGCAGGCTGATTCTCTTCCTCAGGGGCCACTGCGATGGCCGGTGTTCCGTACTTCTCATCAGAGGTAGTCCATTTACTTCCTTGTAATTTGCCAGAGGGCGCATGTGCTTGCCAGAGAGAGCCGGAGGGAGAGGGGAAGTGAGATATCACCCCCATGGGAGATGCAGGCTGCAATCCCTTCTCCATTTCTCCTTGGGATTTGGGGCACGCACAAACATGCTTCCTGCGTGTCTCTCAAGCTGCCAGGTCTGGGAGTAGAACCGCATAGTGGGCCATGTGGGATCCAGCCATCTTAACCACCACAAAGCTGGCTGAGGTATGTGCATAAAATTTTTAAAATTCACTTTTAAAGTCATATATTAGGTTGTCAGGAAAGTCATGATGTGTTTTCCTATGCAAAACACATATATTTCCCGACAACTGTGTGTGTGTAATTATATATATAATTAATAATGATATAGTTTATATGTATAAATTATATAATAATAAAATTAATTTTAAAAATACTGCAAAACAAAGAACATGAAGAAAAGGAAAGGCTTCTGAGAGGAGGTGGCATTTTAAAAAAGAATATACTCAGTAAGACCTCAAGACTTGAACCCAGAAACCCTCCTGCATGGCATATATATATATATATTCATTAAAAAAACAAATCCCATGCCAGCAAGTGGCATGGAAGGTAAAGTGACTGGGTCCCACATATCCGACTTAAAGGTTTGAGTCCCTGGGGACAGCAGGTGACATGGTGGTTGAGGGCACTGGACTCCCACATGGCTGATTATGGTTCAAGTCCTGGACACGGCAGCTTGCTTTCTCATTTTCTCTCTCTCTCTCACACTCTGACCCTCTCTGGTCTAAATAAATAAATAAATGGATAAAGTTGAATAAAATAATGCTTAAAAAAAAAGTTTGAGTCCCCATCCTAATGGCTTGAAAATCATACTGAGAGGGGCCAGCAGGTGATGTGGTGGTTAAGGCCACTGGACTCCCACGTGGCCAACCACGGTTTGAGTCCTGGACCTGGCAGCTTGCTTTCTCACTTTCCATCTCACCCTCTGTTGAATTAAAATAAATAAATTAAATAAATAAAGTTAATAAAATAATTATTAAAAAAAAAAAGAAGAAGAAGAAGAAAGGAAGAAAGAAAATCATACTGGGTGTGTGTGTGCCCCCAGTCACAAACAAATACAAATTCCTACTCAGTTTACCAGACTCCTGAGTCCAATGCTCTTCTGAGGAGGCCGCAGGCAGGGGCTGGGAGGAAGCGCGGGGTCTGGGCACACAGGTGGGCAGGGGCCCTGGGGTGCTGCAGACCTAAGCAGAACTGATGTCAGCTCTGTGTCTTCTTGCAGTGGCCACTGCCGAGAGCAGTGTCAGTCCGCGGGCACTGTGGCAGTTCCGCAGCATGATCAAGTGCACGATCCCTGGCAGCGACCCCTTGAGAGACTACAACAACTACGGCTGCTACTGCGGCCTGGGAGGCTCGGGCACGCCGGTGGATGAACTGGACACGTAAGTGATGCATATGGAGGGACCTCGGTGTTTTCCTGGGTGAGGGCAGGACAGAAGCACAGAGAGAGAACTTGCACATTTGCTAAGATAACCTATTTTCGCCTCTTGTCATTTAAAGAAACACGTTCCGGGAGGACCCTGTAAACCACGTTCCCTTAGTAGGGGTGGAAAGCGGAATGTCGCTGGACATAAAATAGTGGGCGGGGCTGCCCTCTAGTGGTAGGATGTGAAAACACACACTGTCCCAGCAACAAGCCAAGCGTCATCTAGTTGTGTGTGGTTTTTAAACATTATTTTATTTAACTTTATTTATTTACTTTGAATTTTTACCAGAGTGAGAGATAGAGATGGAAAGTGAGGAAGCAAGTCACCAGGTCCAGGACTCGAACCCTGGTCGGCCATGTGGGTGTCCAGCACCCAGCCAACCACATCACCTGTCAGCCCTAGTCCTGGTTTTAAAATGTCTTCTGTATATACAACGCTGTGTTTCTGCAACCATATTAAAAATAGCTCTCAAGGACCCAGTAGGCAGTGCGCTGGTTGAGATGCTGGGCTTTCCCATGGCCATCAAGTCCCAGACCCTGACGACTTGAAAATCACCCCGGGCACTATGTGCACATGTTCAGAAATCCCAAGAGGAGAATGGATGAGAAGGGACTGTGGTATGGCCATCCCCCCGGGGGTAGAATTCTCACTTTTCCTCTCTCTGTCTCCCTCAGGCAAGCACACACATTCTATGGTAAAAACCTAAAAAAAGAAAATTGCTTTCAATACACATCTGATAAAAGGACTTACAGTTTTGGGGGGTTTTTTAAAGACATTTTTGCTATAGGGCACGTGTGATTGCTGGAGAGATGGAGACAGAAAGTGAGAAATCACCCCACCCCCAGGGGGATGGACATGCACAATCCCTTCTCCTCCATTCTCCTCTTGAGATTTTGGGGCATGCAAGCACATGTGCCTGAAGTGAGTTTTAAGCTGCTGGGTGCGGGACTCGAACCACGGTTGACTGTGTGGGAACCCAGTGACATAACCACTAGCCATCTGCTGGTCCCAGGGTTTACATTTTCTCCCAGAGCATCTCTGTTAAGTCATCGTTCCCTGTTCTGGAGAGAGCTGTCGAAGGTTGCCCTGCCTGCCTGTCTTTGCTCCTGTCTCAGCCACTGCTGTGCATTCCAGGTGCTGTCAGACACATGACCACTGCTATGACCAGGCCAAGAAGCTGAGCAGTTGTAAATTCCTCCTGGACAACCCGTACACCAAGACCTACTCGTACACGTGCTCCGGCTCCGAGATCACCTGCAACAGTAGGTTTATTCCGTCTTTGACCTGCAGATTCTAGTCGGCCCTCCTGGGGGAGACAACAGCTGGGGGAGCCACCATCCATGGGTCATTTTCTTGGTGCTGGGAAATGTGCTCCCTTTTGGCGATTTGTTTTTTTTTTTTTTTTTTTTTAATTTTATAAGAAAGAGAAAGAAACATAGGGTGTTTTTTTAAGAATTATTTAATTTAATTTTATTTATTCATTCATTTACTTTTTTTTTTGGAGAGGTTTTTGCCATAGGGCACGTGCGCTCGCCAGACAGACAGAGAGAGACCTAGAGACAGAAAGCGAGAAATCACCCCCCAGGGGGGATGGTCACGCTGCAATCCCTTCTCCTCCATTCTCCTCTCAGGATCTTGGGCAC